CTTAGCTTTGTCGATCAATTGTTTTAGTATGACTCTCGATCGTTGATTTATGGATGAGGAGCTCCTATCAATTGAACAAGACTAAAATAGCAGAAAAAGAAAGAATCATTGTAATCTGATCGATAGCTCATTCCTTAACAAATGGGTCCTTCGAGATATTTTTGAGTTATTTTATTGTCAATTATTAACCGTTGGTGAGGAATATCATGGGCATCCATGAGACTATTACTGATATTGAACTCTTATATTGACTTGAGTTGCGCTGATAGGCAGATTGATGCTTTTGGTAGGCTCATTGGTTTTAGTCCTTGGTTCGGGTGGTCTGCTCCTGGTTGACTTCCAGCCCCAGTTCAAGGGGTTGCATCTAGTTAAGTTAGTGGGTCCTTTGGTCTTCCTCCAGTGGGCCCACTTTAGTTGCACTTTTATATATCTTACTCCATTAGATCTCTTCAAAATTCATGCTATTGTATTCCCAATATACATGTATTATTATATTTAGCTTCAAACCTCTTCAAACATTTTGTATGAGCCATGAATTTAAAAATTATGTGGTATGTAACAATCATGAATTTAGCTTCAAACCACTGTAGTTACTTTATTATAGATATGTAAAAATCATGAATTTAAAAGATTTTGGCTATTATGCATTTTAAGAATTTGTGTCATAAATGTTAAACATAAATTTCTAACAAGTGATATCGGAGTCTTGATTACTAAATTTATGATTTTTCATATAATTTTATTGTTTTTGTCATTACAATTGTTGTTGTTATTATTATTACTATTATTATTACTATTTTGTAAATTTTTTTACTATTAAAAGTTTAAATTATCATTTTGTAAATATTACTAGTACTATTATTATTACTCTTATTAATAATATTATTGGTTTTTCCATAAAAGATATATTTATTATTATCTTATTGTTCTTTACTATTATTATAATTTTAAAAATATTACTATTTTGTATTTATTATTATTATTATTCTTCTTTATCTTATTTTTAAAAATTATAAAATTATTAATACTATTTTATATTATTTGTATTTTTTTATTTAATAATAATTATTATTCTTATTGCAAAACTATTATTATTATTTTATTTTCTTCTTTTATATGATAGATCATTTTATTTTTAATTCAAAGATAATTAATATTATTGTATATTTTTCAATTTTCCTTTTTTATTTAATTGTTATTATTATTATCATAAGTTAAAAATAGTTAAAAAAATGCTGAAAATATATTAATAAAACTAAGTATAACAAAATATGTTGAACAATAAATAAATAAGTAAAAATTTCATTAAGGAAGCAGAGCTTGTGCGAGCTAGCCTCTTCAAGCCTTTCCAAATAATTCTGACCTGAGCCTTAACAAATAAATGGTGCTCTCCCTCCTCACATTTTTAGCTTTTATAGGTGTCTCATTTCTCTTGAAACCAAGGGAGTATGATAAAAGACTCAGGAGATGAGACATTGTGATGTTTACTACCATTTTTGCCCCTCATACTTGCAAATCTTCTATTTATAATTTTTGAAAATTTACTTAATGAGTTACCACACTTTATTACCCATTTGTGATAGGAATAATTATGTTTATGTTTTTGTTTTTATCTTACATATATCTCTAAATAATTATTTGAAAAGCTTAAATTTAATAAAATGCTTCCAAAAAGCTAATGATTTACTCCACTCGTCCACCAAGAAGAATGTACGTTGGTGTTTACTTCTTATGGATAAGACTAGAGAAAGAGTTCAAGAAAACCTTGAATTAATTATGGAAAATTTTGGAAGTCTACATTGGATTCTAAAGGTCTTCATTTGAGTATATCTAAAACTGAATACATGGAATGTAATTTTAGTAGTAGTAGCTATAGTGACAGGGTTGTAACGATGGGTGATCAAATTATTAAAATGTGTGATTATTTTAGATATCTGAAGTATATTGTTCAAAGTGATGGTGATATAGATGAGAATGTTAATAGTAGAATTCAGGATGGTTAATTGAAGTGGAGGAATGCATCGAACCTATTGAAGGATAGAAAAGTATTGCTTAGACTGAAAGGAAAATTTTAAAAGATGGTGGTAGCACCTGCGATGCTCAATGGTGTAGAACATTGGCCTTTAAAAAGGAAACATGAAATGAAGTTAAGTGTTGATGAGATGATAATGCTTAGGTGGATGAGTGGCTTGATACTTAAGAGTAAATGCGAAATGAATATATTTGTGATAGGGTTAGTGTAGCTCCAATGGCGTACAAGATTAGAAATAGTCGTCTTAGATGGTTTGGTCACATTAAATGTTGACCATCTAATGATCATGTCAGGAGAGTCGAAGTTTTAGATTCGACTCATGTTAAGAAAGGCAGGGGCAGACCTAAAAAGACTTGGGCATATTATTTAAAAATGATTTTAATCTATTAAAATAAAATAAAAATACGAAACTCAATAAGACACAATGGAGAAAAAAGATTCATGTAGCCGACCCCACTTAGCGGGATAAAGGTCTGTTGTTGTTGTTGTATTTGTGAATTCTAAAGCCTTTTGGCTATTTTTGTACTAACATATTAAAATAAAATATTGCTTATGAGAACATGAAATTTGATATCTAAATAACTAAAATAAGTGAAAAAGCAGTCTCACTGCATACTGAATAACTTATTAAAATTATTGTTGCACATTTAAACAAGTGAAATAAATGAGTAATACATTAATGAACTGATAATCTGAATGCATTTTACATGAATACCTTACTTTTGAAATGAAAAAAAAATAAAATAAAATTTCTTGCTAGCTATAAGCAATGCTATTCATGTCTTAGTTGATCAAATAGTCTTACAACAAATGACATTTACAAAATAATCCTTGAAATAGTGCTTAATTGGACACATTCTTAAGAACACCTGGGATGTGAATGTTGCAGAAGTAATCCTCCCATTCAATGTGCTTGGGATCAAAATCAAACAAAGTGGCCTCCATGCTGTCCCTAGTTTTCACCCTTAACTTCTCCAAGTTTGCATCATCAAAACTGCAAATATAAAAGAAGGTTTAAAATCTAATTTGTAATTTCATTCCATTTCTTTTTTCTTAAGTTAAGATAGTGATATTTTTTATGTGATATGATGAAAGATATGTGTGGTATAAACTAAAGAAAAAAAAGCAAAGTTTAGAGGATAGATATGTAAATAAATAGAAAGTGGGGGGTTTGTAGGTAACATTACCATCCTTTGAAGAAGGCATAGGGAGCATAAAGCTCAGCAAGTAGCATTACAAATCTGTACTTTCTCCACAGCTTGTTAACATACTTATTGAACAGACAAAAACATGCTATATTCAGCAAGCGAAATCCCTGAAAAAATAGAAAGAAAATATCACAAAGTGTTACACACACACACACACACACATATAACCTTTTAACATTAATCTTTACATACATATATAGCATTCTAGTGTGATGTATATAATAACAACAAAAACATATGCATTAAAAGGTTTTTTATTTTAAAATTTCGTATATGTTAGTGATATTTTAAGGTAAGCCACAAATTCGTAGGTGTAAACACTCTTGACATGTCGGACCCTCAGAGGAGAAGATATGTAGTCGGAGTAGCTGGAGCCATAAGAAATCTAACAGTGAAAAGCACGAATGAGACTCCTTCACACGAGATTAGAGTGTTAGGAAATATTTTGCATTAATAGACGGCGACGCAAAAACACGTCCGTAATCAGTTTCAACGTATGATAGACACAAATCTGACACAAGAATGCAAAAAAAAAAAAAAAAAAACAAAATTGCAGGACCAACCTCTAATGGCAACCGATATCGAAGGAACATGTATCGTTTGAAATCTGTCATGGTCTTCATGACGTGCATCGCCGTCATCTTCATGGGCTTCCCGTCGCTCGTGGTTCGAGGGCTATTCTGAAAATATTTATGTCCCGATTCAAGC